TAGCTGCCCTTTTTTAAAAACACACACACACACACACACACACAAAACCACAAAACAATTATATTATGGATTTCAAACATACACAACAGAAGAATAGTATAATGAACCCCATGAACCCATTACCCAACTTCAACAATTATCAACATTTTGTTAATTTGGTTTCTTCTATTCTGTCTCTGAAACCCCCACTGAATATTTCATCTAGCTGTTTTTTTAAGAACTGGTCTATATATGACAGACCCTGGCCTTGTAACCACGGTATTCTAGCAAGTATGTCAACCTAATCGCTAATCTTACCAGAATACAGTAAAAACAAGCACTTATACCATTCCCCCACTGGAGCAATGACTAAAAAAAAAGAGATGTCTAAATTCCAGACTGTTAAAATCAAGGAACTCTGCCCACTGTCACCTTTAGAAGGATTTGCGGAGAGGGCTGTTGTAGCTACAAGTGAATGTAGATGTAAGCTGTTTCTGTTTTCACTTGTTTGTACTGATGTAAAATTTCTGAATGTGTTCATTCAACCCAGTATTTACTGACTACCTGAAAATATGAGGGACAGGATTAAGATGACAGAAGGTAAAGAAAGCCCAGTCTCTCTTCTCAAAGAAATCACAGTGGGGGTGGGAGGCTGGGTGAGAAGAATACACAAATAACAAAGATACAAAGCAGCATAAATACTGTGCCCTAAGAAAGATTAAATAAACCTAAGGCAAAAACTCTGTTTAATTTAATCCCGGCCAGCGTAAACTAGGCAGGTTTGAGGGCAAGAGGAGTAATGGAGCAAGTGGTTGAACATCGACCTATGCCCAGGTTGTGGTCTCCATCCCAGTGTGTGTGTGATGCGGGGGAGGGGTGGCGAGGGGGCGCGTGCAGGAGGCAGCCCATCAATGTTTCTCTCCCATCACTGATGTTTCTATCTTTCTCTCCCTCTCCCTTCCACTCTGAAATCAATAAAAATATATTTAAAAAACAAACCCACAGCCCCATCCGGTCTGGCTCAGTGGATAGAGCCTCAGCCTGCGGACTGACAGGTTCTAGGTTTGATTCCGGACAAGAGCACATACCTAGGCTGCAGGTTTGATCCCTGGCCCTGGTCAGGGCGCGTGCAGGAGGCAACCAACCAATGTGTCTCTCTCACAGCATATTTCTCTGTCTTTCCCCTTCCTTTCCACCATCTCTAAAAATCAATGGAAAAATATCTTTGGGTGAGGATTAAAAAAAAAAAAAAGTAAATAAATAAATAAAATAAACCCACGGAATTTGTAGACCCTGCAGTTTACCCCTCCTTAACTCTGGGTTATGCCCTCTGCTATATTTATTGCTGTAGAGTCAATAAGTACATTACAGGAGGCCTGGGAATTTGGTGACCCACAGAACAGACTTTTGGATGTGAATCTTTAAGGTTACATTTTGCTACTCACCAGTCTTCTGGTGGGAGAGGATAGGAAAGTCCTCCCAGGGCTTGGAAAACAATGGAGCTAATTCAATGCAGGCAGAAGCTGACACTCAAAGCATTCTACCCCGAGGGCATATACAGCAAGCAGTTTCATAAACAGGATAGGGTCGTGGGAGTGGGTCAAGGACACAAGGTTAGATTGATTCAGAAGAATTTCCTTGCTCTCTAAAGGACTGTGAACTTGGTGATCTATTATCAGAACTTTCCAGAGAATTGTGTAGTTCTTTGGACAAGCCAAAGAGGCCAATGGTTTGGACAGTGCTGTGTGTGAAGGAAGGAGAGGGCTGAGTGGCAGGGTCGTTCATGTGGCCCTGGAGTTAGATGCACAGGAAAAAGGAAGAAGGCAGAGTTGGGATGGGAGAGAGGTTTACATTATAATCGATGTTATCAAGATTGGTGAGGTGAGGATGGTTGGGAGAAAAATAAGGGAAACGAAGAGGATACTGTGAGAAGGGACAGGGGCACAGGGAGAGGGAAAAGGTGATAGATGATTCGGGTTTGAAAAGGACATCACTGATGAAAATGAGGAAAATGCCAGGAGATCCGGGAATCTGAGAGGCAGGATCTCACAGCTTATTGGACAGAGTGTAAAAAGGAGGATCTTAAGATGAAAGGGTTATAAGCTGAGTGAAGGCAGTCACTACATCAGAGCTAATTACTAGTAGATGAAGGTTTAGGTAAAGGATGGCAGAAGGGATGCAGCTACAACACTAGAAGAGACTGAAAATAGGAAGAGATCATATGAGGAAAGACTGCAGGGCTAGAGGGCGTTAGAGTATATGAATTCCTGTGGGTAAGGAACTTAATAGGATGAGAGGATCTGGGATAAAATGTCAATGAAGTAGGAGACACTTTAGGGTGAAATAATGAAGTGAGAAGGAGCTCCAAGGACTCTTAGGGTGAGATGACAACTGGACAAAGAATGAAGAGAGTAATGTATTAAGGTGCAGGGGTGTCAGGGCATGTGGGGTCAAAAGTCATGAACAATGGGTTGAGGAAGTCACAAAGCCATGGGGCAAAGGGTCACAGAAACCTTGAGCTTTGTGGAATGAGTTGATATAGGGCTTAGGAATCTATCTATCTATCTATCTATCTATCTATCTATCTATCTATCTATCTATCTATCTGGCTAATATGCAAAGTATCCCCTCAGGAGTTCGACCAGGAGACCTAGAGTTCGATTGCTCGCTATGACATGTGCTGACCACCAGGGAGCAGCATGGAACATGGCAGGCCACCAGCGGCGGGGCACTGAGGGAGCGAGGGAAGGAGGCAGGGAGGTGGGGAACCTGATCGGCCCTGATCGCTGGCCAGACCTAGGGACCCTACCTGTGCACGAATTTCGTGCACTGAGCCTCTAGGCTGAGGCTGACCTAGAAAACTAGATAGGTTTGAGGGCTCGAGAGGTAACAGAGCAAATGGGTTTTGAAGACTGGGTTCAAATCCCAGCTGTGATACCTATCTGAGTTTCAGGTTCTTCATTTATTTAAAACCAATTCAAAACAAACAAAAATGGGAAATGGTGGTGGATATAATAGCAACCATCTCATGAGGTTGTTGAAGGGTAAACATGGGCCAGGCAAGGTGCCAAGTGCTTTGGACACATTATCTCAGGCACTACTATCATCCTCACTTAACAAGAGCGGAGATGAGGGTTCGGAGAGGCTAAATGGTATGCCTGAGGTGCCACAGCTGAAGGGCTACAGTCACACTAGAACTCGGGTCTCTTATCACATCAATGCCTAGAGCTGAAGCATTCTGCTGTGCTGCTTGGCAAGCATGTTAACTGATGGGGCCTGATCAAGGGAAGTGGGTACGGACTATTAAGAGTGTAGGGGGTCAGGGGAGTGAGAGAATAGGGACCAGGAAGCAAGTGGACCCTGGGATGAGGTTACCAGAGTAAACTCCTTAGGGCACAAAATGATTGCAAAGGAGTATTATCTTGACTGAGAATTGCAGACTTTCACAGCTGGAAATAAACTCAGGTCCTTTAACCCAAACTGATCATAATACAGATGAGAAGCTGAGGTCCAGAGTGAAGAAAGGGCTTCTCCCAGGTTCCCAAAGCACAACCCCGGCAGAGCCAGGGCCCACACACTCAACCAGAATTATTTTGGCGCCTCCAACCATTACTACTTCGTATTTATCTCCATATCTTCCTGGCACCAGCATGGTGCTAGGGCATTTTTAAATCACGTGCCGATTGACACTGGCGGGCTGGGTGCAGCGAGGATTGTCAGTGGGGGTGACTTTAGGATGAAGGGGGGACATGGAATGAATACCATGAGGTAACAGGGCAAAGAACGGCTGATCAGGCATTGAGGGTTTGCAGATGACTGGGTGGGAACCTACGGAAGGAGGCTTGAGAGTCACCAAGTTTGCGGGAGAACACGGTAGAAAGGGCGGGGTTACGGGACCAGCGGGGTCACTGAGGTTTGCGGTCATCAAGGAGGGGCGTGGGGATCTCGGGTCCGGAGTGACTGTGTGAAACTGAGGGAGTCACTGAGCTGGGGGGTCCCTGCGCAGAGCTGGGGAAGTTCCTAGGTTGTCGGAGTCAATGACGAAGAATTGAGGGTTCCCTGGGAAGGTCTTAGGGTCAGTTGGTGGGGTGTGGGGCCACGGAGGTGGAGGCGGGCGCCGCCACGGGTGGGGTTTGGGAGTCCTGGGGGAGGAGCAGCAGGCGGAATGGAGGGGAG